ACAGAGAAATCTTACTATGTGTTATATATTACAGGGAGGGTTTGACAGTAGACAGGCTGACAGAGAAATCTTACTGTGTGTTATGTATTACAGGGAGGGTTTGACAGTAGACAGGCTGACAGAGAAACCTTACTGTGTGTTATCTATTACAGGGAGGGGCTTACAGTAGACTGGCTGACAGAGAAATCTTACTATGTGTTATATATTACAGGGAGGGTTTGACAGTAGACAGGCTGACAGAGAAATCTTACTATGTGTTATGTATTACAGGGAGGGTTTGACAGTAGACAGGCTTACAGAGAAATCTTACTATGTGTTATATATTACAGGGCGGGTTTGACAGTAGACAGGCTGACAGAGAAATCTTACTGTGTGTTATTTATTACAGGGAGGGTCTGACAGTAGACAGGCTGACAGAGAAACCTTACTGTGTTTTATCTATTACAGGGAGGGGCTTACAGTAGACTGGCTGACAGAGAAATCTTACTATGTGTTATATATTACAGGGAGGGGTTGACAGTAGACAGGCTGACAGAGAAATCTTACTGTGTGTTATGTATTACAGGGAGGGTCTTACAGTAGACAGGCTGACAGAGAAATCTTACTGTGTGTTATTTATTACAGGGAGGGTCTGACAATAGACAGGCTGACAGATAAATCTTACTGTGTGTTATGTCTTACAGGGAGGGTTTGACAGTAGACAGGCTGACAGAGAAATCTTACTGTGTGTTATGTATTACAGGGAGGGTCTGACAGTAGACAGGCTGACAGAGAAACCTTACTGTGTGTTATGTATTACAGGGAGGGTTTGACAGTAGACTGGCTGACAGAGAAATCTTACTGTGTGTGTTATGTATTACAGGGAGGGGCTTACAGTAGACTGGCTGACAGAGAAATTTTACTGTGTGTTATGTATTACAGGGAGGGTCTGACAGTAGACAGGCTGACAGAGAAACCTTACTGTGTGTTATGTTTTACAGGGAGGGTTTGACAGTAGACAGGCTGACAGAGAAACCTTACTGTGTGTTATGTATTACAGGGAGGGTCTGACAGTAGACAGGCTGACAGAGAAATCTTACTGTGTGTTATATATTACAGGGAGGGCTTGACAGTAGACAGGCTGACAGAGAAATATTACTATGTGTTATGTATTACAGGGAGGGTTTGACAGTAGACTAGCTGACAGAGAAATCTTACTGTGTGTTATGTTTTACAGGGAGAGCACAACAGCAGAAAACCTGTCAACGGAGACAAAACAGATCCTGGAGGAGATCACACGCTGCCTCAACTTGGACAAGTTACTACCCTGTTACCACCACACCGTCACTGTGAGGTGAGACAGTAACGTACATCTTATAAATGGTGTATGCTGATTGCATGTTGTTTTAAACAGTGTAGCTATGAGTTAATACAGTTACGACCCTGATGGTAGGGTGATACGAGCCTGTAGCATTCACCCCAGGACAATACGCCTGGATGCTGAAGGTAAACAAATCTCCATATCACTCTACTATCAGTACCATCAATTATTTATCTTAACAAATGAGAAATAAAACAGACTATCATATTCTCGGTCATTGTAATGTTTTAAGCAAATATTCAACAAGGGATTGCAATAAATATCAGCTACAACATTACATTTTAGACCCGGACAGGCAATCTTCTGCTGTTCTTGTCGATGTTGTTAAGTATGAAGTATTTATGTGTTCTCTCTGGCCTTTCAGCTGTCTGAATGCTATTCGAATTCTACAGAAGTTTGGACATTTACCAAGCGACGCCTCACTGTTCAAGAACTACATGCAGTATGGTGTGTTCAGGGATGTAAGAGTGGCTGCCGTGGAGGCGGTGGTGGACTACATAAAAAGTAGGTCGACAGGAATGTATCGAAAGAGGGTTAAAAATGTCAGAAGACCATCCATCAAGAATATTTGAAACCCAAGAAATGATTGAATAACGTCAGTCCATCACGAATTTTCAAAACAAGAAAATTAAAAAAATTATTAAATAACAACAAGTGGTTGTGTGAAACACTATAGAAAGGTCGATATCATCACCAGTAGTTCAGTTACCTATGGTCATGATCTTTGATCTGTTACAGGTTAAATATGACTATAGGCCTATAGCTCCTTACATGCTGTAGGTCACTTAGAGGGAGGATTACAGAGTTGTTAGTTTATGTCATAAACCAAGGTCGCATTCATAGATCCCAGTTTAACCAGTTCAGGTGGCGCAGAAATATTTTGCGATAAATGAATGCAACTGTAGGCAGAGCTAAAAAGTGCACAGTTGCAGCGTTTTATGGCAAATAGATAATATATTAAGAATAATATGTCCTTCTTTCATGCATCAACTAAATTATACATTAAAATATACATGTGAATAGGTCTTGTTTTATAAAGGAATATTGTAGACTAGCTTTAGTCAGCATTTTAGTTTCTGTCGGGCACGTCTGAACTCCTCGATATGCACGTGCCGAATATCCCTGAGGTCACATGGAGCCTCGGTTCAGATTCGAGCCTGTGGGTATTTTTTCAGATTCAGCTGGTTGAAATGTTTCAACCGGATACGCGAAAGGGGCCCTAATTAACTTTGATAATTAACATCACTCAGACAAGAAAATCATATTTTGTATACATAGAGCTTACCTAGTGCCCCCAGGGTTTAAATCTATGAAAGTTTACATTCCAAGAATGGTTTTACTTCATTTCAATTAAATTATTTGTAATCTTTGTATTAAGGAAATGGAATTTTGTGCAACAAAATTACAAAAACAACTGATGTGTGAGTGGCTGAATATGTAAATGTAATTCAATCATACCAATATTTTCAGCTGATTGTAAGCCTGAAGAACTGCATAGCCTGATTGATATAACGGAGACAGACCCAGACATTTACTTCAGGTAAGGCTTAGGAAACATTTATAAATAACAGGATGAACATATTCTGTATAACAGGAAATTTACACCCAGTCAAACTTTCGGCCTTCACCAGTAAAATCCTTTTTTAGCCCAGTTTTAATTTTGCCCTTCACATTTAATTACTCTGTATATTTGGTGTTTACACATGTTTGCTGTAGTGTTAAACCCTCGAAAGGCGAAAGTTAAAAAAGTGCAGCAAAATTTCCCGGTATACAATATAATGTAAAAATATCTAGTTTTAATAAAAAAAAAATACATATTGAACTATTAAGAAGTACAGGTATTGTTTTTTTTTTTAAATAAGTTGAAAAAATTGATATCGGTATAATTAAACTGTTATGTGCATCAAATTTAAGTCTTTCATGTAACGGAATCCCGCACCTGAGACATTATTACTGATGTTGTGCAAGTGAAATGTTATGTTTAACCAATTAGTTGCTTGTCAGGTGAACTCGGAACAGGTGCAGGATCTTTGACTTAAATGTTAGTTTTCTTCAAGTGATATTTTGATTGGAAGACTGTTTTAGAAGTTTATTGTGTGTTGTACTTGAACATCTCCTTTTCTATGTTCAGACACATCGTCATCAGAAAGCTGGTACAGAACCCACCCTTCAAACGAGGCGAGCACAGCCATCTACACACACAGGCCTTAGTGGAGCGGCTCTGGAAACTCATGAAGTAAGGTGTTACATTTGTTTGTTTGTTTGTGTTTTACGTCCTATTAACAGCTATGGTCATTTAAAGACATGCCAGTTTTTGGTGGTGGAGGAAAGCCAGAGTTCCCGGAGACGGCCAGTACCTGGCGACTGCCCCACGTAGGTCTCAAACTCCTGTCCCAGTGGTAGAGGGCTAGTGGTAGCAGAATGTCAGACGCCATAACTAACCACTTGGCCACTGCAGCCCCCAGGTGTTACAAACGTTATCTCTAAAAATAAAAGGGGCAAACGTGCATCAATGCATGATTTATAATAATTGATGCTGATTATTTTATCAGATACACTACCTGGTAAAATCTTCAGTAAATATTCTGTACTGACATTATGATTGTAAAACTGTGTTAAATATCATTATGTATGTGACTATTTAAGATCTTACTGTAGATGCTCTATAACTTAGTCAAATAGGTCAGGATTCTGATGAGACTTGGTCAATATTTACATTTTGTCTGATATTGAAATCTGCCAGTATTGAATGAGCAATAGAAATATCTTCGGTTTTAATGGCGTAAGATGAATCGAATATTGGCAAAAAGGGACATTTTCAATTTCTATTTTCATGGTTTGAAATATACACAAACGGAGACTATTCCTATGAAATTTTTTTTTTTTTTTAAATAATAAAAAAAAAATGGCTTCCATATTTTCATACATTTGGATGCAATAATGCATCAGAAGAATTTTAGATATGTCATATTGGCATGGGACGGGCATATATTATTCCACCATGTGGTACTCTTGTTGACAATAGAAATTATATCAGATTTTGTTTTCTTATCCAGCATCACATTTTCCCATGACTGTCGTTTGAGGTGTGACATCGCTGATCTATACTTCACGCTGTATGGGCGCACCCGCCCTACCTGTCTTGGTATCCCAGAGGTAAGAGTCCACCTAACACAGTCATAGGAATGCATCAGAAACATAGTTGTAGGATAAAAGTATTGTATGTTACTTTGTTATTACCCGATATGGTATTTCAGGCAATGGAGTAACAAACCAATTTTTTTCAAATTTTCAAAACTTATTTTTTGAAAGAACAGTGGCATCTTTTGAAGGTATCCATCAATGTTCTATTTAATTCACTTACAAATTTATAACACTTATTTTTATTGCAACAAATTTGATGGAGATACTTAAAACATTCACCATAGGCTACCCCAAAACATATATCTATTTAATTAATGTAAGACCGTACTCATAGCTCCTGCGAATTCCTCAAAAATTGGTATTGGTTAATGTATATGCTAATTGTATTAATTGTATATCTATGTACTGTAAAGCGCTTTAGAGTGGCTTATGTTAGCTAGATCGGGCACTATATCAAATGTTGTATATTATTAGTATAGGGCTGACACAACCTGAAATCAAAGAGATTATGTTTTCATATTAAGACTGGTGATAGATAGTCTTTGTCAAATCTTTTCAAAGACAATTTTTTTTTATGTAATTTTGTTTTTTATCTGTTAAATAATCACCATATATCTGAGAAACTGATTGCACTTACTATAATTCGGTATAATTTTTGATACCTGAATGTAATACAATAGGTTCATGTACATAGAGATGTTAATTATTATGTTTTGATGTTTACGTTTCATAAAGAATGTTAACTATAAATTTCAGAGTCTGGTTGTGTTCAATCTCAAGGAGAAGAAGGCAAAATTCAATCCATCAGTCGTACCAGTGGAAATGGAGGTAAGTGGGTAGCTCTTCTAATGAGACTTAAGCTTCAAGCTATGATACACCTCCGATCATCTTCTTGATACGTATTTACAAGATAAATTGATAATATGAAGGAATTCAGATATTTTATGTACAAAGAAGAACGGTAATTACAGTATACTGGGAAACTTTCACTTGTCGCTGATAAAATCCAAATTCGCCCGGTGTTATTTTCGCCCTTCACATTTAATGTGTTAATTATGTTGTTTACTAATGTTTGCTGTAATGACAAATTCGCCCTCATTACGGAGGGGAAAAGAGGAAAAAATAAAACTTTAAAAAATGTCCCGGTATACACTGGTATATTCTGTTACTTTGGCTGGTATTTGTTGAAGTAAAATGTGTTGCTTATGAACTCTTGGAGATGTTACACTTCTAATTACAATAAACTATACAAAGAAAATGTCAATTTTCATTTTCATTTCATCTGTCAGGCAATGTTCGAAGATGAGGAGGAAGTGGACGATGTGGAAACGGAAAATGTTGCCATGGAGGTTGAAGAAGGTGAAATCCTGGACATTATGGACACACCTACTGCTGGTCCTGTGGAGAAAGACACCCCACACGGACAGAAGAGGCCAGCCGAGTCACCCCTGGACCTAGGGCCCCACACCTCACTGGACCTAAACCCAACCTTGAAGTCCTCTATCATAGAGAGCAACACCGAAGCTGGCCACAGTGAGGATAGCAACACCTCCTTCAAACTCAAAATCAAGGTCAGCTGCCAACGTGATTATAGTGTCAATTGCATTTTGCTTTCACTTGTAATTGTAAATGTTATTTTTTGGTATGCAATCCCCCATGCTGGACTGAATTACGATACCGGCCCTCTGAACCTCTTGTTTATGTAGACGATTGTATGAGTTCTCATTGATTCCTTATTATTCATTACAAGAACCATCACTATGCATGCATTGGTTTAGCACAACAAAGACTTTTTGAAATTAAAAATGCGGGGTTGATTTTGCTTGATGCATGTTCCTGAATGCCAAAAGTTTGTATTTTTTATGACACCACAATTATGTGTTAATTGAAATGCCTGGTAACACTTTTAAATGATTTCCTTGTTCGTTTCAGAGATGTTTTAAAAGATACGATTCCTTTGCACTGAATGATTTGCCTGGCATGACACTGGTACTGTTTGGCTTGTTTGTTGTAGCAGCTCCGGCTCGCTGTAGTCCTGTTTGTTTACTGTTGCCTTTGTTGATTGTTTGTGGTTTGCTAACAGATTGGTGGTGCCTCACTGGATAGTGCCCCTCCCCACCTAGCCTCGGTGAGGGAGGAGATACCTCCCCAACATCCTCCCACGCCATCCTCCGCACCGGTCTCCGCATTCACTTCTGAACTCTTCAAATTTGTTGCGGTACAGCATTCTTTTAGCATTTTCCTTACTCTGATCAAGAGATTTAACCTGTTTTACACACAAGATTGATGAGGATATCCAATTCTCATAAGTCTGTCGGGGAAACAGTTAGGTTTTGGTGTAATAATAACTTAACCCTTTAACCCCTATGTCATTTTAATATAGACTTCCATGCATTGGTAAGGATGAGTCCATTATGGTCTACAGTGGTGAAAGGATTAATGCATATAATAGGAGAAACAGCTAAGATTTGGTTAACTCATTCACCCCTGAAATTTCATAATGAACTATTCCAGCCTTTGAATTGGAAGAGTTCAAATGTGTCTTCGTCCGCGAGTGTATTTTTTTTCCTAAACTATGTCTGTAGGTGTTTTGCTTGAATACTCGAACACACAATTGATAGGATGCGATCTCAGAGTAAGTTTAATTATCTATTGAATTAATATTCACACAAAAATTCAATTTGTTATCGAGACTTCTTGCAAATTAACCATAATAACACATCAGTGAGGAGAAATATAATCAGGAATTTTGGTGTACCGATAACTCATGTGTCACGTAGGTGAAAAAGTAAGGGTGAAATGCACAGATGATAAATTTGTGCAGGAACTAATTCTATATATGAATGTTTGACAGACCCACCGTATTCAATAAGGAATAGTGTCAGTGCTACTGTTGCAAATAAATCTGGTGGATGTTTACTGGTTAGTGGTACCATTTAACTATTAAATTGCATCTAGTGACACTATGTATTCTACAGCGTTTCATTATTTGATTGCATTTGGTGGTATAAATGTGAACATCACTAATTTTAGAAAGCGTTTCAGAAGTTCGAACGAAAAAGTGTTATCACGGATTCAAAGAGGCAATGTCTCCAATTTTAATATCAATGGTTTCACCCATTCCTAGGTGCAAAATCAACAGTCCTGATTTGAATTGGTGATATAACTTGGGTTATTTCACGGATTAAAATTTAGAATTGGTCATATTATCTATGAATGAGTGATACCAGAATCTGGTAAATTGTTTTCAGAAGTAAATATTACACAATGTGCATACAAATGTATCAGAATCATACAGTATGGAAACTGAAAATCCAGTAAAGTAAGCAAAAATCTAAAGTAACTCACAGTCAGCACACAGGGAAAAGACACACCTCACAACACATAGAACAAAGAATCTGGTTGGTTCCATTGTGTGCACGGATCCATCACAGTAGTTCTGAAGTCAGTCTTTAATAGCTGATAGTATAACAGTCCAACGTTTTGAAAGTGACTTGGTAAAGAAGTAGCAGATCTTGTGATGTATTCTTCCTCCATCTTGTTTGACAGGCAAGTATGCTTCTTCGCCAATGCAAGTGAACGTTAACCCATGCCTGAAGCAAGAAGTTCCAGTAACTAGTAGTGTAGGAGATAGAGCCTGGACAGACTTTTTCTTTGATGCAGGTCAAAGGTCAAAAACAGAGTGACCTACTTTGATATACGACTCACCAGGTTGAACCCATACCCCAAGTATGAAGTTCCAGTGACTAGTAGTGTAGGAGACAGAGCCCGATCAAACTTTTTCTTTGATGCAGGTCAAAGGTCAAAATGTAGTTCAGAGTGACCTACTTTTAATACATGACACACTGCCTCACCAAGGTGAACCCATACCCCAAGTATGAAGTTCTATTGACTAGTAGTGTAGGAAATAGAGCCCAGTCAAACTTTTTCTTTGATGCAGGTCAAAGGTCAAAATGTAGGTCAGAGTGACCTACTTTTAATACACGACACACTGCCTCACCTTGGTAAACCCATACACCAAGTACGAAGTGACTAGGTAGTAGTGTAGGAGATAGAGCCCGGACAAGATAGAGAAAGGACGGACAGACACGACGCAAAACTATAGTCCCCCCCGGTTCCCGGTGGAGGACTAATAAAAATATTCTAAACACAACAAGGAACAGCCTTGTTGTTTGCTTTGCAGCCATCATCAGGACTATTAAAAGTATCATTTTCCTTTGATATATGTTTTTTACCTTTTTGAAAATGCGAGTTTTTTTTGTTTTCGTTGTGAGAATTAAATATAAGTACTTTGTGACTAATACATTGAAATTGTTTGTATGGTTTGATTGAGGTGAGTTCTTATCATTCTCATTTTAACAGTGGATAGTGTTTGCACATTTGTTTTGTCCTTTATACAATTCTTGAATAATTCAGAGCACATCTTACTTTGATTTTTTTTTTAAATACCTTAGTTAGTTCAAGACTTAGTGCAAAACAAATAACTTGTTCATGTATTACATGGTACTGATTCAGATCTAATTATTCCATGGTACCTATTTTCAATTAATATGAGGAGAGAAAAAATGGACTCAAATTCTTTGTGTCGTCAGAAAAGAAATGAAAAAAGCATTGATTTCATGTGAATTTTTTAATTTAAAAAAAAAAAGACAAATTTAAAGATAATATATTTGGTTAAAAAGGACATGATAAGCTTATTCAATATTATTTTGGACCGACAGAGAAGTCTATATTGTGTTGATATTAGCAGTGAACTTATTCAATATTATTTTGGACCGACAGACAAGTCTATATTGTGTTGATATTGACAGATGAAGCAGGAGGAGGACTCTGTGTCAAAGATATCTGTGACATCCATCCCACCTCCCCAAACGGGTGGCTCCGTCTCCATGGATACCGTAGGTAGGCTGAGTGAGGATTCCTCGTCTCCTATCCACTACAGTACAGGTACGCACTCCAATATCACAAAGTCATTTCCTGTAGCCCAAGTTTCCTCTGGCCCTGACACAAGACTTGATAGATTGATGTCTGGTGCGGGACCAGACATCTATCTGTCAAAATGTTGAAGTCTGGTGTCAGGGCCAGAGGAAACACGGGCTACATTTCCTGTAAGATGGTATTTGTTTGTGTACTAAAAAATTAGTGAGTGCATGTTTACATTTTATATTTTAAATCTTACTATGTGCTGTTATTAGACTTGTGTAGTGTATGAAAAGTATCAATCATTAAACATTTACGTTATAGAAAATTGCAAATCACATTTCTTTGAAAACTTCACCCTGGTTGTTTATTGATGAAAAAAAAATGTAAGGCAATGACCGATTATGCAAATAAATTTCAGAGACGAAAGGAGGCAGCAAACCACCCATGTCCTTTGCTGGATTGTTGCCAGGATCTCAAGCATCTGGAGGTGAAGTGTCAATGCCGACCAACCCAGATGATCCTTCATCAAGCAAATCACACAAAGCAAAGAAAAAGAAGAAGAAAAACAAACACAAACATAAGCATAAACACAAACATGATAAATCTGAACGTGATCGCGAGTCATCAGACCGCCCGAAGGAGGCCGGGGGACACTACAGCTCCGAAACAAGTACTGTTAACTCTCCGATAGTGAAACTCGACCCTCCGAGTTCACCAGAGTTTGAGATCATATGAGGAATTTGTGGTTACTGGAGAGTCAAAATCAGTGTCCTTCAGAGTGTAGATGGTTGAACCACTTTACATGGAGTAGTTTTACATCAGTGATGCTAATTTCTGTATGTGTAAAACATCCCGTGTGAAGAGCGTCCTTATAGAAACCAGATGACAATCTGAGAATATTTCAGCACATCAAAGACATAAAAGGACAATACATGTCAAAAGTTCTGGTAGAAGAGAAGGATCTATGATTCAAGTTTATTTCAAGTACACATTTCAAAGTTCACTCTATCAAATATATGTACCGTATTTGACACAAAAATGGCTAAATCACAAGTGGGGCATCTTAAGCTTTCATGAGACAAATTTATCCTCAAACAAAATAACTCAGTTTTTCAATATTTTCCCACTGCTACAGAGAAATGAAATTTTCTTTATCCCACTCTAAGTTGATTTCCCCATTCATAAAGGGATATTTTGTTTTGACAAATTTCATTAATCACCATATCATCAGAACCGTTTTTTCCTTCGATACACAGCTGGTGTTCAGCACCATTTGTTGACAGAAATTGTCTTATTCTCAAAACTAACTGGACATCTTCAAGAAAAATTATAAAATGCAGAAAGGATCTAAAACCCGGGGAGGGGGGGGGGGCTTGTTATGTCAAATACAGTCAACGCTGCTTTTTCTGGAAAAGTCTTTTTGATACTTTAATGATAGAGATATACCGTATCATGTTCATAATCATCAAACTTTTAATCAATTTGTATCATCTCATCTTGGTCTATGTTAATGTAAATCTGTATTTGTATTTGTTAAAGTATTTGTTGGTTTAGTATGAAGTTGGTTGGTATAAATACAGGAGGGGTATGTGATTGATTTAAAAATCATGATTATACATATTAAACAAATCAGACATGAAATGTCTTCTCCATTTTCCTTCCCGGTGTCTATCTAAAGCAAATATAAGCTGCAAGTATTGTAGCTTATTGACTGATTTAATGTAAAAGGAACCACTACATCCGTTATACTTCCACTTAAAGGGTTCTGTTTTGACTTGGTGTATTCTCCCATCTATTCCGTCTTTGCGTATTGCAGAGTTATCTTCTCTTGTGAGCAGGTATTGATTGTTACGTCATTGGTTTGTGTGAGAAAATAACGTCGTTTTCTCAAAAATTGATGACGTTACTCTCACACACAAATGACGTAACAATCAACACCTGCTCACAAGAGAAGATAACTGCAATACGCAAAGTCGGAATAGAGAAGATTAAGCAACCTAAAGGAGGTTTTTTTTCTGGCTTAGAGTAACTTCCCCTGTAAAGTTGTGTATCTTTCAATGTTATTTTACAATATTGAGTGACAATGGTTATAGCTTAGCTTGCTGGTACCCTTTACCTTAACTTGTTACATGCCACCCATGAAACTAAGGGTCTGTTAGTTTATGTGGAACAACCGGTTTGTCTTTTTAAATGTAACATTTTCTGGTATAAATCCTGGTGGTCATGTAAATGTTAATGCAGGCCTTGCAAGGCTTTGTCAAGGCTCACCTGAAAGCAGCATCAGATTACTAGGTCTGACCTTATTTCATGAACGAACAACTCTGGTCCAACTGTTTGGATCGTGATAAACGAAAGTGGCCCCTTGTTCATTATCTAATACAACGTTTCAAAGTAGTGAAATCTCTTTGTATTATGGCACCAAGATGGTCAATATTGCACTTATTGTAGAGCATGAAACATATGTAGAATATATCAATAATAGCCAAAGATGTAGTTATGGTAGGTTTTGTGAAACTTTGTACTTCCTTCTGTGATTTTACACTTTTAACCATTTGGATGGTAAAGTCTTGTTCAGTTACCTCCCATTCGTCCTGAGGTTCACACAACAAAATACAAATCATATAGAATTTTTATTTTTTTTATTTATTTATTTCAAAACATTTTCTAAGTACATATATGATGAATAACAAAAATACGTTCAAAGAGTGATTTTTTTTCTTTAAAAAGAATTTTATATATATCTATATCTAAATGCCATATAATCATGACTAGACTTTTGTCTGTATTTGGTATTGGAATTTGGAATTTCATACTTGATTGGAACATGATCAAACCAACCTATTTATGCATGAAAAAACCGTTTTGAACACTGAATCCTGCCAAGTGTACCTATTTTAATTAATAGTCCAACATGAGGGAAATGTAACATAATTTACAAAGATCGGACACCTGGGGCGTGTTCATTTATGCGGAACAACCGGTACATCTGTTTTTAAATGTTACATTTTGGGGTATAAATCCTGGCAGACCTGCAGAAAGCAGCATCAGATTACTGGGTCTGACCTTACTTCATAAAAACAAACTCTGGTCCAACCGGTTCAACTGTTTGGACCGCGATATATCAATTCTCTCCAAAACATTTTCACTCATCCATGCAACGCTTACACACTTATAACTTATGTCTCTCTCCATTACCGCAGTAAAATGAACAAGGAACTTCTACAAATGTCCCTTTTCAAATAAATCTTGATCATACAAAAAATATCACAGCAATTCTATATAGTATACATCCTTATGGTACCACAAATTTAAAATACATTTCAGTATCATTTTTTATTTCATACAAAAACCAGAGCTCCAAATAGTGATGTAAATCAATCAATAAGTGTCTTCAAATTCAAGAGTAAATATTTCTCAACAACATTTTGATGCAAATCTATTGCAGATTTTGAGTATTGTATGTAACTTAACAATGTTCAATTGCATAAATGAATCAAATGTTGTTTCGATTGTATTACGGAAATGAGTAATATCAGAAAAGCATTGGTTGGACTAGCAGGTCAATTCGAAAGAATAGACAGCAAACACTCATCCCCATATTTAAGAATGATTGTCAATATATAGATTACCACGAGTGTTAGTTAACTCACAACCTCTAACACATAAACATGTACATATCAGCTGAATGTGATGATCATGACTTATCAAACAAAGAGAGAATGTTACAGACTTTGAAAACACTTGTGAAGCACGTCAGCTAGAATGTGTCACAGTCTTATAAATTACTACAGCCTAGGGGGAAGTCTGTAGTAGGATGTTGTGAGATTTACTGGAATACTGCCACAGGTTAACAATCTGGATTATGCACATCACACTTTTGTTCAGTTATCAGCAGTAAATGCCTGTAGCCCTGTGATAGCTCGACCCAAGATCAGCGCATGGATGTCATGGGTACCTGGAACATGTAAACGCACAATTAAATACCATTATCTAAATGAATTATCTAAATTTTTCAACATTCAACAAATATCGCTATTTTCTATAATACACAATGGCTAAATAGGTCTTTAGAAGGTTATTTAAATAAAGTCATTTCATTAATGCAGAAAAAAGTTCTTAACATTTTATAGATTTGTCACATTATGAAAATTTTAATAATGCGACGAATCTGTAAAAGGTTGTGATGTACCAGACTTTTCATCATGGAATAGATTTAAAAGCAACTGTTGCATACCATCATACTCATTAGAACACATTCTTATCTTTATAACATAAATATTTCAGTTCTCTTATTTGAACCTTTTATTTATGCTGATTCAGAAGTGGTAATAATATACATACAGCACTTAAATTTTGGACATTTCATATCCAATCACAATGATGAAAAAAGTGTACACACTGAGATTTTTAGGCTTCATATTTTGTGTTTCAATACAAAGTACCTGCCCAGTCTCAGACATACCATACATTTTGATATTAATGCATCAAAGAATGGGATTTAACGAACGATGTAAGAAAAACTCCAAAAATAAATTTATACTGAACAATGATTACTTAGATTAACACCAGGCCACTTTATAACAAACATCCAATTAATGACCGAGGGAATAGCCAAGAATCAGTGTTCGCCTAGACTTTGTGTTTCAAACAGCTATAGTAGATAGATTATAAAAATAAAATCTCTTGTATGTGCCGAGATACAGTTCTACACACTAAATTTTGACCCCTTAGTACTTAAATAAATAACAAATTAGTTTGTTATAGCAACTGTCTTTGGACACCACATCAAGAAATGATTTGGGGAAGTAAAGACGTTAAAAATACTTTAATATCTCATGCTTTGATAAACAGAGGACAAGGAATCCTGATCATAAAGATATAATCTTGTCATTTCTGCAACGAACCCTCATATGTGTTGACAGCCTCCAGATTCATGACATGGCGGATGATGTGATACTCATCGCTGATGCCGTTACCTCCCAACATATCTCGTGCCACTCGTGCGATATCAAGAGATTTACCACACGAGTTCCTCTTGATCAGAGAGATCATCTCAGGTGTTAATCTACAAAATTAACATTGACTTCGATAAAAAATGTAGTTTACCTGGATAATACTTCAATAAATTGATATCAAGGAACTAAGTAAATCTATTTTAAATCACTGTAACTCAACTCTGACATCTCTCAAGACTTGCAATCAGGACCCATACAGTTTGGTCAGTTGTCTTAAAAGAAAGTATATTGAAGTCACTGTTTCAAAGATGTTCTTTTTTTCAAAACAATGCAGAATTTGTTGCTCTTACAAAATATTTAACAACTTAGGACCATGGAATATCGTTACAAGTATCATGAGAGGTTTTCCGTAGGAAAAAAAACAAACATCTGATCTAAAAAAAATGCATTTGTTCAAAATTGATGTACAGAAAATTATTAATTATGATATTCAGTTTTATATTAAAAGAGAATGATATCTTGATAGAATTCATGTTTTGTTACACTCATGTTAACAATAGTGTGTGGACCTAATAAAGGCTATACTGAAGAGCTTTACTTACAGGCCCTGATCCTTCAGTCGGCCTGCCTGCACACAGGACTGTAGACCAAGTGATATTTCTGTCAACATGTCGGCCATTTTTTTCTGAATCAGTTGGTTTTTGGCAAGGGGTTTCCCAAATTGTATCCTGAAACACAAACGAGCTTCACATTCTTACTCTGGTCTGCAAGGTGACTATTTTTCAATTACTATTATTTTACCAAGTAATACAAAAACAATACATATTATCATAATGAGACTACATTTTATGCATTTTTTTTAATTTTTTTTCATATATATATACAGTATATGTATTTTCAAATGAGAAATTTTGTATTTTAAGTTCTGTATATATTCACCAATCCCCCGAAAGACTTTCAACATCACATTAACTATTGACCAGAATGATTGATTACTAGTGTTGACACGTACCTATCCATTGTATATTGCCGTGCTGCTTCCAGACAAAACTCCGCAGCTCCTAGCGTTCCCCAGGCTATGCCATATCTGGCATTGTTTAAACACCCAAATGGGCCCTAAAAACATCACATTGCATTTTAAGATATCAATCTCTGATAATGTCACATTACTTGACTGATTTCTTCAATTGTAATCAAATCAAAACATAATTAAGTGTTTGAACTCATTAACAAAGTAAATATCTTTTTTAAATATGTAATTCTTTCAACACAGAACATTTTAAAAATTTTACTCGAGTAAAGACCATGAATATCTGTGACTACGTCAAACACAAGTTGTTTATTATTCATACAATCCAAAAGAGGACAATGTTTACCCCAAGACCAGATATATTGGGAAGCATATTCTCCTCCGGCACCTCTACGTCATCCATAGCAATTTGGCCGGTGATACTGGCCCGCAGCGAGAACTTGCCCTCAATAACGGGTGCTGTAAGGCCCTTCATACCTTTCTCCAGGATAAAGCCTCGGATTTTGTTGTTATCTCTATCACACTTGCCCCAAACAATGAACACATCAGCAATAGGAGAATTGGTGATCCTACAAAGAAATGATAGGCTTTGTATGTTAGTACCAAGCAGTTACTTGTTCTGCCGTTCATTTAATGGGGCAAAAGTTAACGTTTAAAAATATTGACTATTTCTTTTTCACAGAACTGTTCAATGGTTTGATAACCATTCATTTTTTTGTTAAAATTCATGGAGCGTACAGATATGATTTACTGTAATATCAATTAAGTATCTCTAAAACTGTGAGGTCACAATAACTGACAGTGTAAATGGATCTTTATGAAAGTGCTTTTTCAAAAAACATGAAATACAAAAACAATTTCAAATATGATTGCCGAGTCTTACCAGGACTTGCTTCCAGACACTCTGAAGGTTTTGGTAGCAGCATCATATTTGGCTCGGGTTTCCATGGAGGCAGGGTCACTTCCATGGTTTGGCTCGGTCAGACCAAAACAACCGATTAACTCTCCTTTAGCTTTGAAGTATAAAATCATGAGAATTAAACTATAACTAGAGATCAGTCTCCCTTAAAGTGCATCTAATTATTGTACACTGTAAACTTCAGAGGATAATACTGGTTCAATTATTAACACCATATATGTCCTACAATAGGCCAAAAGGTGTAACATATAACCTCAAACTCTAAATATTGGGGACATATTACAGGACAATGAAATAGCATTTGTTGGCATTTAAACAGATCTGCAATATATTTCGGTGGGCTTATTACCAGGCATGGGCCAATTGCCAGATTAACATATCCATTTCTATTACAGGATATACTAGTAACAGTTATTCCTAAGAATCTTTTAATGTTGTAGTATGCATTTTCATTCTATTTTAAAATAACAAATTTTGTGTCTGGTACAACTTTTGACAGGTATTTGATTGAAGATATATACCTAGCTTTGGCAAATATTTCTGTTTCTGTTCCTCTGAGCCGTAAGCATTGATCGGGTGCATCACTAAGGAGGACTGGACACTCATGGCTGACCTGTAGCCACTGTCCACTCTACAAAATAATATCAAGATAATAAAATATTCTGAATAAATATGGGAAAACAGTATCTTCAATCCATATATCAAAGTGATATCAGAACAGGCATAATGGACAGATACAAAGTGCAATAAAACTTGTATAACTCTGTTGTATGAGAATTTGCTGAAACCAAAGACTATTAATGTTTGTGTAGTTAACAAATCCCGATTACCGGTAACTAAGAAAACACTAATAATTGTAGACAATGTAGAGAACCATTACCAAAAACATTGATGTGTACAGGTAGAAATTAGTTCCCGGTGTGAATATATCACTATAGTACTATAGGTGTATTGACAGACGAGGCTAGTTACCTGTGTATATAACAATAGAAATTAACAAAACTATGATGGTACATGTACTTGCCACTTATGAAAATGTGAAGCCAAGAACAAATAAAGTATTTGAGAATAATACCTCTCCAGTTCTCTGGCTATTAGACCATAGGCTACAGAGGACACACCAGCACAACCGTATCCCTGTATGGTTGGCCCTAGCACTCCAAGTTCTCCCATCTCGGGCATCATCTCCTTGTGAAAGTCTGTAGAAATGAAAAACAAATTTGATACCTGAAGTCTGTCCATACCGAGGTCACCAAATATATTCTCAATATTCTAGATACTGTATTAAATACTTCATACGTTGGTAAATCATCCAACTTCTTAATCAAAGATGATGAATGGACTGACAATAAAACATTGTTCTATGACGCACCGGATGGTGTTCCCCAGTTACATACGTTCGTGTCTGTTGGCCATCAGTATCCTTGGCATCAGTTTTTCTTGGCAGTAGGACCTGAACTGGTCCCTCACCATAATCTCCTCCTCTGTCAGTAAACTCTCCAGGTTTAAGGCATCTTGCCAATGAAACGAAGCTGAAAAAATACAAAAACATGTCCTTTGTACAGAATCATAATGGGTAATTAGTCAAGTTAAACTCAAAAGAAAGAAATGAAAACTAATGTATTTACCAGGAATTAAATATAAAAATAACAGTTTCCTGAGATATTGAAACATGTTGCCTAAGGGTCTTGAATTGCGTAGTGTAGTAGTTGGGGAAGGATTATTCCGAATTATTCTGACGTTTTATCAACTTTTTTTATATCGGTCTGTCGTCGATATAAAAAAGTCGATAAAACGTCAGAATAATTTGGACTTTCTATAACTTTTGATTCCAATAGGCTAAGCATGTTATCTTAACAATTTGAATGAAAATCCGTCCAAAACTTTTGGGAAGAGAAACCATTTAAAGCAACTCAGCCAAATTGAGTCTTCTTACCCCAACCTGCAGTAGGGTTAGCTCCTTTAATTGTGTATTTTTCATATCCTTATCCATATTCTAGCACCCTATTTTGATGAAATCTGTTCACAATTTGGTTTTTAGAAGCAAATCGGCCATGTTGAATCTGTTAACCAGACCCCTCAGCCTCAAGGAAAATCAACCCCTTTTTTTATTTTTTAGCTCACCTGGCCCGAAGGTCGTCGGCCGTCCGGCGCCAACTTTTTACTTCAAAAAACTTCTTCTCAATAACCAAGAGGCCCTAACTGATGATATTTGGCCAGTAGCATGCTGGGATGAAGGGGGACCAAGTTTGTTTAAATGAATGACCTTGACCCACTTCCAAGGTCGCAGGGGTCAAATATCTTAAAATCTTTAAACAACTTCTTCTCAATAACCAAAAGCCCAGGGTACTGATATTGGGCCTGTAGCATGCTGGGTTGGAGGGCTACCAAGTTTGTTCAAATTCATGACCTTGACCCACTTTCTAGGACTGTCGTCCGTCCGTCAGTCAACTTTTCCTTTAAAACACTACTAGTCATGAACGACTGAGCAGATTTTGACCAAATTTGTTCAAAAGCATCCTTGGGGGAAGGGGAACAAATTTTGTATAAATGGTGGGTCTGGTCCCCCTGGGGGCTGAGCCCAATAGGGGAAATATAGCAAATACTTTAAAATCCCTCTTGTTCCATAGGATTTAAACGATTTGTTCCATATTTGGTCTGAAGCATCCTTGGGTGAAGGGGAACCAATTTTGTATAAACCGTGGGTGTGGCCCCCCAGGGCCCAATAGGGGAAACATAGCAAATTATTCTTTAAAATTCTTCGTCTGTAGGAATGAAAGGATTTGGTCCATATTTGGTGTGGAGCATCCTTGGGTAAAGGAGAACCAATTTTGTATACACGGTAGGTGTGGCCCCCCAGGGGCCTGAGGGGTGGGGCCCAATAGGGGAAATATAGGTAAAACCTTAGGATTTTATCCTAATTTAGTCTGGAGCATCAATGGGCCAAGGGGACTCAATATTGTATAAGCATGCAGTGGGTGTGGTCTCCCAAGGGGCAGAAGGGTGGGGCCCAATAGGAGAAATAGACGTAAAACCTTTAAAATCCTTCTTCGACCATCAGGATTATGGGATTTTATCCTTATTGAGTCTGGAGCATTCTTGGGTCAAGGGGAATCAATTTTGTATAATTGGTGGGTATGACCCCCTAGGTTGCATATAGGGGTGGGGCTCTGTTTGAAGTTTGTTCTCGCTATATCTCAAGTACTGGATGGATCTTTCTGAAATTTCATATGTACTTACAGCACCTACTTCATGCCAATTATTTTAAACATATTCAGGTAAGCGATACAGGCCATCTGGGCCTCTTGTTCAATTTGTATATTTTTTATTTTCCTTTCATCCAAAAAGAGGCATATTCCTTCAAGACAACCAACAATGTTTTGGTTTGGTTTAGTATTGTTTAATGTCCTATCAACAGCTATGGTCATTTAAGGACGGCCTCCCCCATGTGCAAGATGCATGCGTGTATTGTATGCGTGTGTGTTTTGGGAGGCTGCGATATGTTCATGTTTGTCTCCTTGTGATAGCGCGGAACTGATGACGACTTTATAGTGCTACCTCACTGAAACATACTGGCAAAGACACCCAGCAGGACACCCCACCCAGTCACATTATACTGACAACGGGCGAACCAGTCGTCCCACTCCTAAATTGCTGAGCGTTAAGCAGGAGTAGAATCTACCATTTTTACAGACTCTGGTATGTCTCATCCAGGGGACAGAACCGGGGCCAAAGCCTTCCTCACAGGGGCGAACGCTCAACTAAATGCCAAAAGCGAGGCATTGTCAAGGGAGACATTAGGAAGAAGAAAGTTGTTTAGAAAGAAGAGAAAAGATAAGATCCCAAAATTAGTCGCCTCTTACGATCATGCAATGAGAGCAGCTGCCCTACCTACAGGGACTGATAACCAACAAAACACCACCACCACATAAGCAGAAAGTCACCCTATTACTTCATACCAGGTGAGCTAATACAATGTTCAATATATTTTATATTGATTTCGATCATTTCCGTTGTCAGATCAATAAAGTATGAGTTCCTAAAGAAGTGTTTCAGCTTGCATTGGATCAAGAAGAATGAAAACACTGTTCTCTAGGCAGAGTTACTGCAACTTAGTATGCAGCTATATTAACATGCAAGGTAGCTTTATTACATCCTAGGTTTTGGTGAAATATTTATTCAGATTATTCCTTACCTTTTTGTGGCTTCTGTTCAGTTGATGTTGACTGTGCTGTTGACAATGTTAAGAAACAAAGGTACTGCAAATTAAACAGAGTCAGGGGCATAGCGAGGCTAGAGAGAGGATTCATTTAGGGGCAGGGATTTGATCAGGGGGAAAAGACCTGCATATCAGCAAATAGGTCACTACTCGCCTGATAGTTACATCAACTAATATCTCTAGCCCCTGAAACATTATTTCTACTTTGAGACTCGACATTTAAAAACTTGTCTTTAAAATGCAGAGTCCAGCTTAACACACCTAAACATGATCAAAACACATTTAGAGAAGTTTTCCTTTATATTACCACCACTAATGAGTCGTGATCATGAACAAAAAATACCATCTGCAGTTGTTAAGATCTATGAAGGTTGTTCTTGTTTTATTTTCAAGTTCCATGGAGAAGCTAAAACAAGGAAGTTAAAATTTGAGATAGACAAGTAAACTTGTAATCTGTTGATGTTTTGTTCTTATAGTAAACACTCAACTGGTGTACCAAACCTGAACATCCACCATATTACTGTTGTGGATCATAAACTATCCACACTTTCTAGAATATGGTAAAGGTTATGGCTTTAGAAGCAACTGAGAATGCTTAAGAATTAAAAGATGCATGTCACTTCTAACCTTAGAGTTGGGACCCCGAAAATATCCAGTAACGATTTGGTAATGGGGAATTGATTGTCTTTATTCAGGTTGGCAATGGTGTAAATGTATATCCATATATATAGTGTTGGTGCGAGGAGTTATAGTCCTTTTCCAGTAAGGTGAGCATCTATTCTGCTAAGGTACATGGCGCAAAACCTGTGGTGTAATGAGATTGATAGTATCTTATGTGTGCTATATAATTTTATAGGATTAATATAAGTTATATAAACAGTCAGATAAATGTATATTTATGTAACAAATTTTGATATCTTAACATTATGTCAGGAATTTCACGTTCTCTGTCATCAAAGAAACGAGAAATAATAAAGATCGACGTTATTATCTTCTGACTTAACAATCATGTCTATACTCTATATGATACTGTGATCTAAAATCCAAATTCTGCCACTCTTCCTACTCGGGCTACTGCTGTACTTCAGAAAAAAGGATACATGCTGTTGCTCCTGTTTGTAACCGGCATGATGTACAGAAAGCCTGTCTCCTGCAGAATTTAACAAATCTTAGTCCTCGAAGTGCCATATTATATAAAAATATCCAAACTGATTCAATCACCTTAGCTGTCTGCTTACGAGTTGCGAAACATATGATGACCTTCACCTAACGTGGAGGAGTGTCCCGCTTTTCTGCAGCAAATTTCAATAAATGTTTTTAATACAGTAATAATAAAATAAGTCAGCTATACAACCTTATTAATAGTCTATTTATTTAAGATATTGTGAAGATATTATTGTATTTGTATTACAAATATATATACCGGCTGGGAGCCTGCTATAGTATCGCAGAAACGCATGTAGAACAACATGGCGGATCTTTCAGAACTCGTGCTGAAAGCTGTCGACGGATCTGAAGGAATAGACACAAAAGATGTAGCCAAACAGCTAGGTGTAGATCATCAAAAAGTAGTCGGAGCCGTTAAAAGTTTACAGAGCTTCGAAGGTGTAAGTAAACATGTGTATTTCCAATCTATACAATCTGACAGGATTTAATATGGTCCAAGATGAGTCGATTGCGTGATGCAATCGTTCATCAATTCTGAGCAATACTGGTGCTGCCTCTGCAGAGGAAAATACGATGTTGGATTAATTTGTATTGAAAAGGGTAACATAGAGAAAGTGATCATAGCGTATTCTTTTTAATGTAATAATACAACAAAAGTCACGATGTTGAAAAATATGTGAACTAATCTGGTTTCTATTTCCATATACATATGCCTACTGTCTCGTCGGCAGAAGCTTCGTTATTTGACATATCTAATAGCAGTGTTTTTGTTACTTAAATTTAAAAGCCTGTTCCTTTATGAAAAGGAAAATATAGCATTGTTTGTTTTGAAATCGGGAATATATTCCTAATTTTTTGGTCATGTTAGGAAAATAAGGCACTTTTTAACTAGGGAAACAGCCTGTATTCAATAGTAAAGCTGAGCAAAAAAATCAAAAGAAATGATTAGACGCATATGAATTGAGACAAAAAAAATTGAATCAACTAAAATTTGCTGCTGTCTCTTTGTATGTTTCTTTTGTTTTTTTAAATTTTGATCAGAACTTCAAGATCATTTGACTGGAAATCCTTTAAAAAGACATGCATTGTATTTTGAAGAGAGCAAAGACTCGATTCCAATCAGAATCAGTTACATTCACAGAAAAACTGATGGCCACCAATGATTTTTTTTTAAATAGGTAATCTCTGCTGAACAATGTGTAGAGAAATGCTGGCAGCTGACAGACGAGGGAAACATAATTGCTGAAAAAGGAAGTCATGAGGCGCTAGTTTACTATGCTGTTCCCTCAGGTGGAGTTGCCCAGGCTGAAATCATGGTAACATCTAGATTTCATAAATTCATATGAGTCATGGAATATGTTTTCACATACACATTCTGATACAAACCTAGATAGTTGATACCATCATAAATAAAAAGAACTATGCATTGCAGTAATTTTATTCACAGTCTGAGGTATTCGAAAATTAAAAAAAAAAAATGTATTATCAAGTCTTTAGAGAAATGTCTTTTGGTCTTTGGCCCTTCTGTCACAAAGTGCATATTTAGTAATCATGCTATCAGGATTGGCTCTGGGGTCTGGCCCTTCTCTTTGGGACTTAGTCCTAGGGCCATAGTGTGGAAAAGGTTGAGATACCAACCCTATAACCATACATACATATTGAAGCATCCTAACTCCTTAGGACCTGTGAAAGATCAATCAATTTGAGTGTAAAGAAAGATTGTAGCTTCCCTAGGGCTTGACCCAAAAGTTGGTGACAGTGACAGTAGAGTCTTTAGAAGCCTACATCTGAATTGCTGATCATATTTCAACCAGTCTTGTTATGAAATAAGACAAAGAAATCAATATATATCCTATGTTCATGTTGTAATAGAAGGATTTATCGCCTTGGAGCCGAAAGGTAGAGCCCAAAATGGGAAAGTACTTGCAATACAATGTACACACTCATATTGTATTATATGCTTAAAACCATAGTGAGTAATAAGGCCCTCTTGTTACACCAAAAAAATTATTCTTATTGTAGAAGTCTGTCCCAAATGCTAAAGTAGGATTTAGTAAAGCTATGCAGAATGGCTGGATACAGATTGACAAGAAGGCTGAAGGTGGACCAAAGGTTATGAAGAAGGTTTGTACTATTGTAAGACCTCCATAGGAGGGTGCTGCATTTTGTGTGCTAGAATGCCAATGATAAATTGGAGAAAAGATAAGAGACTTAGTTGTGGTGTCAGCCGAAAAGTGTTTTTTAATGTATCTCTTCAAATTATGTTTGAATTAGTGTGGGATTAGAAAATTACATAAGGATTGACCTTCATTTTTAAATGCTTTACGAAGGGAGGAAAAAGTCGACGCCTGTTGCTACAATGGTAACTATGGTAGCTGTGGTTGCTAGGATAATATAGTTCCAGTGAATCTACATCAAATTTTGCTAGGGGTTAAGTCTTGATAATAGATATTTTCATTAATTTGGTAGCAAAACATTCAGGTATACATGTCTGGAGCTGATTTTATTTTTTTACAAATGAAAATATCATAAAACCAGCGCTGTGTATAACAGTGTTCTATTGCTCTGTTAGGTTGAGAGTATCAGTGATGGTGTGCAGGAATGCCTGAAGAGAGTGGATCAGGGCAAAGATGACATGACAGATGCACAGAAAGCAGAGTGTAAGAAAAGGAAACTCATCACAGAAGTGTAAGTGCATGTAGACAGGTCTGATGACAATGTACAAATAAAACAATGATCTATTCTCTATACTTAATGTGGCAGAGATCATTATTTTTTCAATGCCTCCGCCAGGAGCCAAACCCGGGACATCTGGTTTACTAGTCTTGCTCTCTACCGAAAAAGCTAAAGAGAAATTCTCCCTAGCTGAGTCGGTAGGAAGTGGCTAGTATTTTACCAGGGTGACATACTCCCCCTTCAGGAAAGAACTCGTCACAAGTTTTCCAGGGGTCATAGCGATTCTTGTGAAAGAACTGCTGAGTATATTTGTCATTTTATCCCGAGTCCTTACGTATGCGCCAGCGTAACAGAGGTCATTATTTTTCAATGCCTCCACCAGGAGTCGAACCCAGGACATCTGGTTTACTAGTCTTAGGTTCTGCCAAATGAGCTAAAGGGAAATTTCTCCCTAGCTGAGTCGGTAAGAAGTTGCTAGTATTTTACCAAGGTGACATATATAGGATTGAAAAAGGACCATGCAAACCTCATGTATTGACTGAAAAAAATCTGGAAATGAGCTTTAGAACAAGCGTTTTATTTAATAAATACAATTTATCATAAAAAAAATGTACTTTGACTTATAGCAGGGTTAGACACTATACATGTATATTATATAAACCAGTTTTGATTGGTAGTCCACATGACTAGTTGAATAGATTATTTGCTAGTCCTGGTGGTAAGGAAATGTCTCAAACATGAATCATAATAAAAGTAATTATCGGTACGTAGGAGACATAAAGTAACTACTGCCATGAAGATAGTGAAGATTTAGGAACATTTTGACAATTGTCATGTAGTAGGCCTATACCTGTATTTTTAGCAGTTTTCCAAAAGGAATGTTATTATTTTATAATCTATCTATCAAATGATAATGCAATAACACATTTGTGTTCACAAGTTTAAAGCACCAGTTAGTTTTGGTGACTCAATAGTCCTTTCTGAAATCTACTAGCCTTGGACTAGAGGGAAAGTGCTAGTGTCGAACATGCCTTAAACAGAGATTTATTACTTTCAGGAAACTGACAAGCTACAAGCTTACAAAGGGACCAGCCTTCTCACTGTCAGTGCAGAAACAAGAGGTCGACTTAACACCAGAAATGATACAAAAGTAGGCACACTTAGAATTCTCTTGCGGTAGATTATTATAAGCTTGACCTGGTTTAACATTTCACAGTTTCTTGGATTTCTTATTTCTATAGATTAGCTATATTTCATTTGCTATTTATAATCATGTAAATTCATGTTTATTGATCACAGATTCCAATGTCATGCAAACAAATACTTTTACATAGCGTAAGATTTACTTAATGAGTAAAATACGAATTGACGCCCTCGCCAATAAGTGTGAAAGGGAGGATTGCTAAATTAAGTGTTCAAGAAAAAACGGTTGATCTACCATATCAAGTAATTTTATATATATCTTATTAATTATTTTTTCAAAGGAGAGCAGAAATATCAATGAAATCGTTTAAGCTTGACTAGGATTTTTGCAATCAGGTAGACATAAAATACTGTTGAAAATGTAAGATGTTGAGTAATATTTTCACTGTGAAAACAAAAGTGCCTGGATTATAGAAAGAAAAATATGAGAGAGAAATACAGACAAAAGCATTGAATTCGTATTTGATAATTCAAATGCATAATTCAAAGTCTTGTGTGAGTTTTATGATGAATTTATATCTATGTTTAATCTTAATTAGCTTTTGATGATGAAAACTGCATGATATACCGGTTGTAAAAGTTACAAAGTTACCCATTAGGGGCAATGCTAAAATCATATACAGTGTTGTACATGTATTGATATTATGAAAACTGTTCCTACGACAGTGGGACCTGGAAGGAGAAGTCGTTCAAGGAGTACAACTTTGATGCCTTAGGTGTACCTCCCACCAGTGGACATCTCCATCCCCTACTCAAAGTCAGGGCAGAGTACAGACAAATCTTCCTGGAAATGGGGTAGGTTTGACCGACGATTGAAATTCTCGGTGAAATGAAGCAATACAGAGTGAAATATGCTGTTTCAAATACATGGTACCATTACATATTTCTTTAAAAATAAGATAAACACCCATATCAGATTCATGAGAATATTCAAAGAAATATTTATAATTTTCAATAAAAAAACCAATCCATTAGTTTAATATTGACATAAATGGTAATAGGTATTGCTATTTAATATCAACATTAATGGTAGTACATTGTAAATTTAGTTCTGCTTTTCCCGTTCAGTTTCACAGAAATGCCGACCAACAACTTCATTGAGAGTTGCTTCTGGAACTTTGACGCCCTTTTCCAGCCTCAGCAACATCCAGCCAGGGACGCCCACGACACTTTCTTTGTCTCAGGTCACTTCCCAGTTCCATATTGTTTACGATTGATAACCTCAACTCCAACCATTTAACTGTGCTATTGTATAACCAGATGATGCCCGGATTATATTTACATCTAATTTATAAAATGTTGTTAAAGTAAAAAGTATGGATTGAGAGATAAAATGTGGAATTTGTGAGACTGATCAAATCTGAAAGGGTAGTTGCACTTGTTTACAAACCTCACAATCCTCATTGTTGTGTTCGATTCTTTACTACAACTTTGATTTATCAGTAACATACAATTTCTCCCATCTACAGATCCTCAGTTTGCTCATGAATTCCCGATGGACTATTTAGCGCGGGTAAAAAAAGTGCATTCAGAAGGGGGATACGGTTCTCAAGGGTGAGTTAAAGGTTCTGATGAGATTTGTGCTGTACAGTAAAACTAGCTTATTATCTGTTTTGTGCTAAATTAAGAAAGTAAAATTATGTTTTGACATTGTTATAGACCTACAGTAGATTCAATTATTTCTGAAGGGTATGTGGGAACTTTAAGTGTTTAATTCTCTACAGAGTGATATAGGAAACATTTAAGAATTCAGAATTAAGGGGGGGGGGGATTTGTGCTTAATTATATGCAAATAACTAAAGGATAGTTACCAGGTATGCTTAAGATTCTTTTCTTGTACTGATAAAGACAGACCTATGAACAATTATTTCAAAGTGTGTGCAGACTGCTTAATACATGTCATGCTACTAATATTGTTTATTGATTAATTACTATGTAATAACAAAAGTATAAAGAAAATGAAATCAAATTTTACAACCTAGTGATTTATCCGTCTTGTTATTCTTCACCATGGATTTTAATAATTTTGTAACATGCACATTAAATAACTGACATATTTTTTTGTCTTAAAATCATGGAAACCTCTTTGCTTTAATTCATAGATACAATTGTGACTGGAAATTAGAAGAAGCCAAGAAAAATATTTTACGGACGCACACAACAGCTGTCAGCACCCGAATGTTGTATAAACTAGCCCAACAGGTGAGAAAATAACCATGAAAATATTTCATATTTTAAACATACTGTAAACAGTTAAATATAAAAGTTATTTTATTTAGCAGCAGCTAATGTGAATGATGGTTTGTTGTCCATATTATGGCTAAAATATGTAAATCACTGAAAACCTTCATCTTGGGGTCAAATATTAACATTTATAGAGATTTTTTTTAGTTTTACTCGCCGTCCAGAGAAAAAAAGTTCTTAAAATACTTCTGTATCTATTTACAGGAAGAATTCACGCCTGTCAAGTACTTCTCCATCGACCGAGTCTTCAGGAATGAGGCGACAGATGCTACCCATCTTGCTGAATTTCACCAGATTGAGGGAGTGGTGGCAGATAGAGGCTTGACCTTGGGTGACCTTATGGGCGTCATCAAAGAGTTCTTCAAAAAATTAGGCATTGAGGAGATCTGTTTCAAACCTGCATACAACCCATACACTGAACCTAGTATGGAGATTTTTGGCTACCATGATGGTAAGTTAGCTGGACCTTGCGTGAATTTCTCAAATCAAAATCAAAAGAGGAACATGTCCCCTTGTGTAAATGTACTATGGACAATGCCTGCCCTCTTTTTGCAGGTCTGTTTTACTAAATCTACCATATGTGGCATTCCTTCACAGCTTACAAATCAAGGCAGTCATTTACTGCATCAATACATCTTTACAAGATGGCATTCTTAGGTCATTATTTGTGTGATTTGTTGTATAATATGTAGTCAGTTTACATATATCTAGGTATGAACAAGACCAGTTGAAAGAGCTATACATTAGTTGTATTTGTTTGTGTGGGGTTTAGCGTCCTTGAAACAGCAAGGCTCATATAAAAATTGGTATTAAGAGGGTAAACAATATATATAAACTAGTGATGAGGAATCTTTTAAAAATCATAACCGATAAACATTTAAAGACAGATGAGTTCAGTAATGAATAGATTATTTCAATTATGAATTTTGTAATCGATAATCAGAAAGGACAAACCAACCAATTTTGGATTATAATCGATCATCAGTCCATCACTTATATAACCTAATCTTTTTGTTACTGAATTTGTATGGAATTTATGGTACATGAACAAATTCGGTCATTTATTATCACAGGACTACAGAAATGGGTTGAGCTTGGAAACTCTGGAATCTTCCGCCCAGAAATGCTCTTGCCGATGGGATTGCCTGAGGACGTTTCAGTGATAGCATGGGGACTGTCACTAGAAAGGTTGGTACATCATTCTTCGTCAATTAAACAGACATACCAGGGAGTGTTAACCAGAGATACGACAGAAAAGTTTTCTTTTAATGTTAAGTATTCAGATATATCTGGTAATAAAGTACAGTACTTGGTCATTATACCTTCGCGATGAAGGTAAAGAGGTACTGGGTATACTTGAATCCTGTTGTCTGTCCATCTGTAGTCACAATTCCATCAGTACAACTTCTTAACCTTTTCAACACTGTAGACCATACTGTTCTCATCCATGTCAATGCATGGAAGAGTCTACTTAAGTTACATAGGGGTGAAAGGGTTAATACACTGCATCAGTCTTAATGAGAGTTGAGGATTGATGACTTTATATGTGGATACCTCTTGAGAAGAACTATACAAATATTTCAAATGCAGGTCACTGTGACCTATATTTCCACCTTTTTTTTTCATTTCAAAATATTTTATTAATTATCAGATCTAATGGGAATTCAGCAACAGGCAAAGCCTATACAAGCCCACTCCCTGAATATTTCCTGCTCTACCTACTTTGGTTAGACTTTGCATTTATATCTGTTTCTTAAGTTATGTACTTTGTGTTTAGACCCATAGCCATCGAAGTAGGATTGGAGGCCATAGAAATGACCTTATATTCAGTTGTATATGGTAGTAAGAAGGGTATGTAGCAGCCCTTACACATCACATGTAAATCGAGAGCCCTATCAAACCGGTTGATTACGGTGAATTGGTGTTGACCCGTCAGTCTGACAGGGTGTTTAAAATGGATACAACAAATAGGTTTAATGTTGAAAACCATCACAATATTAGGCTTTAAAATACTTCTAGCTGTGATTCTGCTCTTTATCTTTCAGGCCCACCATGATAAAGTACAAGATTGATGACATCCGGACCCTAATAGGACCCAAAGTGGACCTTCAGATGGTTTACACCAACCCTATATGTCGACTAGACAAGTGAATGGACCTGGGACCACAGATGTAGATAACATGTTAATTTATAAATCAATTCGAGGCTATCACCAGTTGATGGAAATTATACACCATCAGCATGTCAAGACCAATTACAGTGCTGCTTGCTTTCCATTCATGTCTTTTGCCTGGTATTAACATTTCGTCACTTTCCATGGGATATTAACGACCACAGCATGAGGAGTATATATACACAGTAGTCGTGTATAGGTTTTCTTTTGGGTGAAGTGGAATGCCGTTTACTTATGTTTTAGTAATTTGCATACTGGTTTGTGCAATAAACATCATTACAAAGACATGTACCAAGGTGTCGTGTCTAAGCTTAGGTGACGTGTCTGAGCTTAGGTGACGTGTCTGAGCTTAGGTGGTGTGTCTAAGCTTAGGTGGCGTGTCTGAGCTTAGGTGACGTGTCTGAGCTGAGGTGGCGTGTCTGAGCTTAGGTGACGTGTCTGAGCTTAGGTGGTGTGTCTGAGCTTAGGTGACGTGTCTGAGCTTAGGTGACGTGTCTGAGCTTAGGTGGTGTGTCCCAGCTTACCGGGTAGGTGGTGTGTCTGATCTTCAGTATAAATAAGAATTTGAATGTAACGGTACAGTGGACAAACCTTACTGGACTTGGTTTGTGGTTATTCAGTGAAGGAAAAGATACATGTGGTAACCTACAGTCAAATTCAGCTAAAATACTACGAATGGGTCATATTGTGTTATTGCAAGACTTAAAATACTGATATGAAGATTTTGTATTTAAGCGAGTTTCGCTGATGATCAATTTTCATAAATGAAATGTGGGTTTTTTTGTCAGATTATCGGAGGTTGGCAATAAAATCTGATATCAACTACTTACTTTGTTAAATTCTTTTGTGTAATACCATTTATAGATCAGACTTTGCTTTGAATTTGAATCAAAATAGAAACTTTCCTTCATGTTTCATGAATTAGGCTACATTCGCGTATCCAGTTGAACCAATTGAACCTGTAAAGAAAACGACAGGTACAGATTTGGACCGAGGCTGACCTCAGGAAAATTTGGTACGTGTAGATTGAGGGGTCCAGACGTACCTGACCGAAACTAAAATGCTGACTATTGTCAATTTGCGTTATTTCTTTCTTAAACAATGTCAAGTCACATGTAGTTTTTAAGATACGTTATGTAATTTAGTGGACCGATGAAAAAGGGCATATTATTCTTGATACACTGTTTTATTCTCCGAAACTCTGCATTTTTAGCTCTGCTTATAGAACGGTCCAAGTGTGTTCGTTTATCGTGGAAAATTTCTGCGCCACACATACCGTTTCAACCGGGAAATGCGAATGAAGCCTTACTGTTAAAATTGCTATGACGTCACAGAAACAGGAAAAGTCCACATTCAAATATTTACAATGAAAGTAAGAATGTTTATGAAGTGTACATCGAGCTCCACTCTTAATAAATTACTCCAGGTTAAAAAGTTTAGGATACGCCAAAGACGAACATTTTCAGTGATACAGGTCACAGTGACCTGATTCACCAGACAACTACTTCAATTTGGGTCAGAGGTCAAGATATAGATTACACTGACCAGCTTAAGTATGCAACTTGCTGCCATTTACCTGTTTTCCAAATTTGAGTACAAATGTACAACAGATATAATCTATTAGTGCCTAGGCTCAGATCTTGACCAACATGACACTTGTTGGTGATAAAATTGTTAAATTTTATGATCACCCAATTAGGAAACGCGTTAACGTTGCTCAGCTCACACATGCTAACGGCCCAAGTGAGTGCTGTAGGCCCTCTGAGCCAATTCTAAAGAAAGTCTGGTTAAGAATTGTCTAAATAAAAACACAAGACATAGGGTTGAGTAACATTAAATTCATTTATTTTGTTACCATTACAGACCAGAGATGATGCACAACAACACACAGGTAGCCATGACAATGTATGAATTAATGGTGAAATCTGCCTGAAACAGTGTGTACATAATCCTTTGTATTTAGACAATATACTTATCACACAGGTCACTACAAACCAAACTTCCAGCTTAATTTCAACAAAACACTTATTTATCTTTTCCTTAATTTTTTTTTTTTTTGTATATTTTGGTTCAATGATGACAGACACACAGCTCATATGTTCGGGTAGGTGAGCTAATAAAACTTAAGTGTGCAATATCACAATCAACACTTTGAAAGTTAAATATTGAAATAATTAAAGAGCATTCGGACAAACTGCTTTCTTAAATATAAATCACAGAATTTGCAGGCAATGTTTTGAAATGCTGGCTTTTTCAGTTTGTTTTGTCAAAAGAGGTTTGTAGTATACAATGATCGACAGAGGTACACTGTTGATGGTATTCTACATGTAACCAGGCAGTACACTAAATGGGACAGTACTAATATGTTGGGCGAATGAATGATGTTAAAATGGAGAAGTTATAATCTGACAATACTTACGTTTTCAAACTTAAATGAAAGTATTTGATTTCATTTTGTAATATTCCACTGATGTTTTCAATAAACTGACTCCAGTCCAGCTGGTAAAACCAACATAAAGGTAAGCAATTCAAAATCAGCCAAGCTGGTAAAACCAACATTAAGGCAAGCAATCCAAAATCAGCCAAGCTGGTAAAACCAACATAAAGGCAAGCAATCAAAAGTTTAAGAATTATGTCAAAGTAGTAATTAGGCTATATATAGCAATAAATGAAAATAAATAAATCATGTTTTACAATCACCAGGGAATTCAAAGTTTTTACTCCATCACTCGTCAACCTCTGTAGACTACTTGGTTTTGACATTTATGTTAGTTCATGTAAGTTAAAATGTTTACCCGACATGAGCCATGCACGCTGAGTGGTGTAATGGATAAATAATATCTGAACACTAGATACGGAAATATCAGTCCGCGAAAATAAATGTGAGCAAAACGTAAGCTTTTTACAGTATCATTGACGAGAGAAACAGCAAGCTGTACTGTTGAGATGTCGGGGCTACATACAATGCATATTTATGATAATTGCGGGATGACGAAAGTTTTTGCAACAAATGATGAATTATGAATAGAACAAGGATCAGTTTTCATACATAAAGCATGGTGAATAATTGTATAACAATCATAATTATTTAATGAATATGAAATGATCTATGTTGTTATGAATGTGTTTCCTTCGTAAGGAAGTTATGATAGAATCCGTACAGTAGAAAAACGGTTCAATACTTTGTAGAACGATTTCCCTTGAGGTTTCTGTAACATTATAAAAAAGTTCTTATGAATAAAATTCAACAAACGCAACATTCATTGTTGTTACTATATGACTGGAAAAAACCTGCTGGAAACTAGACAAAATTCTACTTTAAAGAAACACAAGGAAAACAACTTGATGAAATATTTTAAGGAAAAAGCTTGAAGTTTGCGAAATTAAAAGCTCTAAATTACAGTACACATGCTGTTCGCTGACATTTCTGTATTTACTATAAACAAAATTACCATTTTTAAAGTCAACCATTTTAGAAAATCGAGTAATGCATTCTTCAATTCCTCATTATTGTCCGACAGTAAGACTGTTGGTGGTCCTTATAAAATATAGTTTTTATTCTCCTTCTCCTTTAAAACTCTCTACATCACAACAACGTACTTTATGTACGATATTTAAAACAAGAACGTCTACATCAAAACCATACCTAACGATAGAGCTTGTACAGACAGCACACAAGTGTATCACAATATCTCCTCACAACATCCAATTGTAGAATAATCAACGCCTAATTTTGTCACCGTTGTCCTGTAACATACTCCTTGGAAACCTCCAGATTTAATTTGTATTCAAATCTATTGCACCCTATTAAATTACAGAAATGTGTCTATATAAATGGATTTTTTACATATAGCAAATCTAGTTTAACAATGTGTAAGAAAACAGCACAAGACAAAGTAAATTGGTTTGGTCGGTGTTAACTAATCAAAGTTCAACTGAACATACCTCAACAAATATTTTCTAAAACAAATTAACGACTTATTAGAATAATAATTTTAACAGTAACACTATTTGTTTCTAAAATCACAAAATGATATTTGAACAAATATCACTGAAAATGCACTTCATTCGTTTGGGCGTTTTTTGCAATCATAGAAATGGAATGTCTATCAATTATCACAATTTTCATATAAAAAAGAATATGTCAAAAATATATTAGTGTACTTTAATATTTCTATTAACATTTAATAGACAACAACTCATTCACTGTAAATAACTTATTTTTCTTGAGGGAATGTGTCTCTATTTAAGAAATTATGATTTGAAAATTCAAATTTCTCATGATTAAATATTCAGGTTTGATCCACAAGAGTTATATATATTAATATTTATATGGTGTTATGTTATCAAAATCGCGAAATCAAAATCTTCAATATGGCTCATATTGTTTGCATCAATGCATGAAATATAAGTGATTTATAGCGAACACTTGATGACAAAGTGTCAAACAACACGACATATTAAAGTGGAATATAGAAATATTCATTAACAAACACACATGAGTTAAGGCTTAAGTGAACAATTATTCTAAGAAGAATAACATTAAATCATTTTTGCAACAGACAGATGAAAATTGCATATAAATGTATCTCACTGTAAGGCATCTTAATGAAAACTATTCATAGGAGATAAAACTTTCCAAGATATCAACTAGGATTTCAAAAATAAATCTCACCTGCATATTTCTGGCCTTTTTAAAACGAATCTGTATGTACTTGAAATTCTATACTTCTTACATAGGCTGAAGTGCATAATGAGCGCTCTCGACAGCCCTGAACTTTTTGATGACTGCGATTGGCACAGTTCTAAATAGAAATACCACTTAAACGACTATGTTTACAGTAAAGATCATCAAAACATAATAAACATCTGTTTTTTATAACAGCAACTATGCCATTTTGTTCCAAATGCTCAAAAATCATTTACGAAATAGAAAATGGGTGATTTTTATAATAATCTGACATTTTAAATTGCACTTGGACATGCTGATTTGGTTAAGATTAATATGATAGTTGGAATATTTGTTACATTGAGTTCTCAGTTAAATGGACACCACAGGTCTTCATTTGTATTGCATAACAACAGATTTGTCTACTGGTGACATTTTGTAGGGAGGAGGGCAGGCCTAGAAAGTCGGTGCCAGAATATTAGACACTTTCATGTCCACATGTAGGGTGTAGGATGGGGAAATTCCATCCGTGGGGTTTTCGAATCGGGTAAAATCTGAGGCTTGCCAAGAGTTTTGCACCGACTTGAAAATCCTGATGGTGGAATTTTCTCTATTCTACAATCATGGCATGAGAGAGTACTTTTCTCTCATTTCAATCACCAGAATTAGGTCAAAAACCACAACAATTGTGTCACGATTTCCTCATCAAGTCATGAAAATGTTAACGATTTTTTGACATCACATCGTAATTGGCATCACGTACATGAAATGGGGTGCAAGATAGAATTTTCATTCACCCCTTTCTTGACCTGGACAGTTTTGTCATATACACACAGGAATAAGAGAAAACAACGTCATACCACTATGGACCACAGGGTCTATTCCTGTTTCATAAAGGAACAACCCTGGTCCGACCAGTTAAATTATTTCGTACATGTTAAATGAAAGCAGTCCTATCTATATCAATGACACAATACACAGACTTTCCTCACTCTTCTTAAGTTATCACACTATGCTAATTATAAGGTTACTGTATATATAAAAAAAAAAAATCCTAACTAGCTATAAATATTGTTTTGGAAAATCTACACACAGAAGGAATACTTTCATATGACAATAATAAGTCTTAATTTTTTAATTGAAATGAGTTAAAATAATGAGACAATGTATTCCTGGAGAATTTTTTTAAGAATGAGAAAATTCAAGGCAAACGTTTTTGTCCCAAAGTCGGGAACTAGTCAAAAGTTTATATACAATATTAGTGTTGATACCATTATATGAAGGTATTAATATGTTACAGTGTTTGTAAAAGTGTGGTTCTGAGACGCAAGGTCAGTCTACAACCTACTGGAATTCACGGGAACTTTACAGCAATCAACACGCTAAATAAAAAATAGGGAACAAATTTTATAAATGTTAATATGTGTTGTACTTTTTAGTATAGCGATCTATAAAGCTATTTACATACAAAGAAATTTAAATATAGAGATCTATTTAACATCAGTTTCTTGGTTAAATCTTGTGAATTATAGGATCACATATTGGAAGAAAAATTTCTTCAGAAACAACCCAATTTTTTTTCAACAAGATACAATATTGTTTGGTTGTAATAAGTACTTCTATTTTTAAAATCAAAACTCTTTGGTCACATAAAGACATTGAAAACTTTGATGTTAGACGAAGCCTGTAATAGCTTAACACTGGTGAAAATACGAAAAGTCAGAAATTGCTAAAAATACGAAAAGTCACAAATTGGTGAAAATACGAAAAGTAAGTAATTAAGTTTTTGCCCATAATGTATGCAATAGGCTTATTTGCTTGCCACCAGTACTTATATTTCCAGTACTTTGTATTAAGAATATTTTTTTCACCATCTTCACATCAAGATTGTGTATATTTCCATTTTTATCAGCGTATTTTTTTGTCAAGATGACTGAGTACACCCTCGGTGAACAAAGAACTAATATTGTAGAGATAAGTCAAATTGAGCAATAATTTCGTTGAAAGGGAAATGTTGCAACACTTATGACGGATTTGGCAAAAAAAAAAATCTTTTCCGGAACCTTTTTTTGGATAAGTATGTAATAGAATCCCAGTAGCTTTTGTTACAAGCCACAAAACTTCAGATACATTTATACACCATAGGACAGTAACAAAGTATTATGTTTCTTGCAATAAAACTGCATTTCATTTGCATGTCAAACAATCAGCATCACAGGTGATTACATAACAGTACACTTATATATTAAAAATAAAAATAATTTTCAACATTAGATATGTAACATTTGTGGAACGGTGCTTGTACAACTTAAATGATTAACAAATTTAACATACATTGACCAGTGATTGGACACGTTCTTTTCAATGATATGGCAATACACAATCTATACCAAATACAGGATCTATGATTTCAATACTTCATCGACTCTGTCTAGTATCAAAATGACTACAGGTATTTTTGTTAGGCATTAGAACTGTTCCTCAAAATTTGCCGTTTTCTGAAGCCTTCCTTGCTTGGCGTCACTTATAGCTCCCCAGAGGTCAAATATAAAGTCGTCGGTAAATCCGAAATCCTTAATCTCAGACTCGTCAATCTTGGTTGTAAAATCGTGAGGATTTTCCGAGGCGCTTCCCATCTCCCATATTGTTGTTGCTACATAAGAAGTTTTCATGATTATTGTTATTGACTGATATTCTTTATAGAGATGATCAACAGGAAGTGTCACTGCATTCATTGTTTAGGTACAAAACTTATTATTATTTTTGATACAATAATACACGTACTCCAGAAATAGAAATACGAAATAACAAAGACGGTCCGACAGACTGTGATGTGATGATATACATACCTGCCACCTTTTTGAAATTTCCAGGGGGGATTAGTAGCCATGCTCAGAATTAAACACATAAATAAAAGGTGTGTATATACACCCTGGGAAAAACATAATAACACTTTTAAACAGCATCTTTTGAGCTTTTCTTTCAGATGAAATCATCAAATCATAGAAAATAGGACAAGATTAGCAATTTCGCTGGTTGAAAAAAGCTCAATTTAAGAGTCCAAAATCGAAATTTTCCCTCCAAAATAGAGAGAGTTAGCATGTACAATGATAATGATAGACTTCTTACCCAGTTCTGAATCGTTGATTCCCATGAAGGATTCTAGGAGTCCATTGATCTTGTCCACGGCAACATTTATCACGTCATCAGGCTGTCAAAACAAATTAACTCTCATGAAATATTATGCTCTTATCCGACAGACAAAATTTATTGTAAATTAGTCTTTCGAATACACTGTTTTAGCAACTGTATACAGTGAATAAGTTCCCAGTTAAAATTGTGTTTTTTTTAACTTTATATAAGGCTTCAGTTACTGAGACATTTACTTGTGATAAATGTATAGGCAAATACTTTACATTTTATCATTATTACAAAAAATGACTTAAAACAAAATACAGTCAGTAATGTTAAAGTGTGTTGCATTCAAAATACAAGTAACAGCAATGGTGCTGGACTGGGTAAATCTATCAATATCTGTTTCAAAATAAAGTGGCAAGAGTGATTATAATAGAGTTTTTATGCATAGGACCAATGACCTTGACCTTTGCCATAAAAGCTTGAAAAAAACCAACCCATGCCTCACAATCAGTTATTGTTCCTAGTTTGATCAAACCCTATTCATAGTTTAGTCACCAGACTGATCAGAAATGTTGAATATATACATGTAGCATTTATAGTGACCTTGACACCCTGAAACAAACTCTGTTTTCTGATAACCGTACATAGTTTAATCAAAAAGTGCTCAGAACTAGGTTGCTAGGGTGATGGCTAAAAGTATGTACATATAAACAGAACACCCTCCACAATCATCCCAAGAATGTGTATGTTAAAAGCTCAAGATGTGACGCATGATGTTACTTACAATTCCCACAGTGGCTGGCCCAGATGATCGGATGCGTAGTGTTTCCTTTCCAGACCCATATTTACTTGATCCCTTCTTTCCCCCTGACGGGCCAATATTTGCTGAAAAGATAGAATATCAACATGATAATTTATATGACAATATAACTTATTTCATTATGAGTATTTTTTATAAAAAAAATACCTGCACCATATCTATCAGCTTAATCTCATTACACATATACAGCGACAGCGTGCTTTCCCAATGAAAAAAAAAAACAAGTTTAAGATTTTCAAAATCCGTTGTGAAACTCACTACATTAGCTTTTTGTTACATTTTTGAGAGGACCTGACAACAACACTCACTACTAGACCTGACAACATTGCTGGCTACTAGACCTGACAACATTGCTGGCTACTAGACCTGACAACAACACTGGCTACTAGACCTGACAATACTGCTGGCTACTAGACCTGACAGCAACACTGGCTACTAAACCTGACAACATTGCTGGCTACTAGACCTGACAACATTGCTGTCTACTAGACCTGACAACATTGCTGGCTACTAGACCGGACAACATTGCTGGCTACTAGACCTGACAACAACGCTGGCTACTAGACCTGACAACAACACTGGCTACTAGACCTGACAATACTGCTGGCTACTAGACCTGACAACAACACTGGCTACTAAACCTGACAACATTGCTGGCTACTAGACCTGACAATAACACTGGATACTAGACCTGCCAACAACACTGGCTACTAGACCTGACAATACTGCTGGCTACAAGACCTCACTATACATGAAGCTGGACCTGACAATATTACTGGTTACTTTAGACCTGACAAAATTGTGAGGTCCTTTTCGCTTTTTGACATTGTGGTGGGTTACCAGCTTCCTGTTGACATTACGAGCCTCTCATGAATATAATACACAGCCAAGTACAACAAAACACATGGCTCCTAAAACTATTAGTGTTGATCACTCTTATTTTCTCTGTAATAAGTCATGTAACTCAATAATGGCCCAAGGGAGGGATGAGCGGTTATAGAAAACTTTGTTAGGTGTGTACTAAACATTTATTCTCAAATCAACCCTTGTGCAGGGTGGTTATATAATTCAGGCTCTTTGGAGAAAAGTATTACACTTATATCTGTTTCACTAACAGACTATAGGATGGGCTTGAGAAAATGTCAACTTACAATACAGATATTTACCAGTTGCCTCATCCATTTATTATGTTAATTGATATTAAGATACACTGTAATAAAAACGTTTCACTATTCATAGTCTAATATTTCTTAACTTGACGGCTTATACCAAGTATCATGTATCCTTTATTAAAATATTTGTGTATACATATCTGTATTATCATGATCAGAATAGGACAAAACTTTTTTCCCTTGTGTTGCCAAGGTAATGACATAGCAACATTTTTCTATTATGATGAATACATTTTTAAAAAAACCTGTTGAACAGGAAATTTTCATCCTTCCTTCTACTCTCGACAGCAATCTCAGGTGTCTGTCTTCCTGGGGATTTTTAGATGTTAATATTATATAAAGGTATCTGTGTAACTAAATGATACACAAGACACAAAAGATGTACACACCAGTATACCAGTGATGTCTAATAAAAGTCGGAATGTTAAATTATTGCTGTACAATATCAAAATACATGGCAATACTTGAAATACAATATGGTCATGCATCGCGACGCACAATCGTAATCTCTTGAAAGCGGAAAAGATATTTTCTTATTTTGCAAGGAAGGAAATATGATGAAAATTAACAGTTTATTATTACATAGGTGGAGGGAATATACAAAGAATATTAACTAATGAAACAAAACACTGTAGCCATCCCTCCATATACCCCACTCTTCCTGGTGATCTTGACCTTTAGCAATTGCTATCAGGTAAACACAGGGATTTATTTCAACCATCCCCTTTAAGATCGATTAAATGGACCCATTTTCAAATAATAATTTCCAATGAAATTTCTGACTTATTTTAATGTATCTATTCTTTTATTTAGTGAGAGGAATGTTACCACTAGATACATGATAGAAACACCAAAAGTTTAATTAACTCATTCACCCCTGAAATTGTATAATGCACTATTCCAACCTTTGAATTGGAAGAGTTCAAATGCGTCTTCAGGGGTGAATAAGTTTATAACAGAGAGCCTGCATGTTGTAAATAGGTAAACCTGTCTATCATTCATAGACCTTATACTTACACATGTACAGGAGCACAAAATCATGGTATGTAGAATTACATCAATGAATTCTGTTCCAGAATATTCTATTCAAAAATAGAGCACTTCTCAATAATTTATAAAACTCCATGGCTGTGCATCTTTACTCCTGAGCACAGTATATGTTAGTGGATAAGTTGAGCTTACTTACTACTATTGTGTAATTTCTGTGTCACGAAACATAATCACTTAGTTCGACCATGTTAACTAATAGGCACCCACCACCACATACAAAACATTTCAAATTCACTGAATCAGGAAATAATCGTGATATCTGGTAAATTTAAACATCTGTTCATCTTTCTATGGTCGGTATGTTCTAGAACGAACCCATTCATCTTTGTTTAAGTAGGCTTGAATACAGTGTGTCAATGAGAACAGAAATTTAATGTGACTATAACACTTCTGCATTTTTTCATGAATAATTCTATAGCAAAATATGTTATGATGATCATCAGACACTGACCGAGTCCTTAGCCGTCGCTTGCTACTATTACACGTTTTTTTCTATGGCTCTATCAAACTCAGGAGCACTAAATTGCAAGATTTGCTCCATTTTAACTTAAAACCAGAAAAATACTCCTACACACAGCAGTTATATTCCTATTTTCTTCCAAAAAACATGTTTATGTAATATCAATGAATATTTTAACAATGTAACATAACAGCCCATGTCGATCATCCCTGCTTTAATCTAGGAAGAGTGTAAGTAATTAAAAGAAGAAAGCAACAAGATGTTGTTTTCAAAGCAAAGCATGGGATAACAGTGTAATATTGGGTGTGTTATTCTGGGTGCAATGTACATATTATACAGTGTGAGTTATATTCTGTCTTTACTCTGTTGGTAAACAATGTATTACATTGTATATATTGGGGTGGGCAACTGTTTTGTACACTGGGTATATAGTCAACCTTACTTAAGTACAAAAAATCAATTGTCAAAATATGACTGTCTTCACACAATCTTTTAATAGAAACGGGAAGGCATAAAAAAAATCCTCAGAATTTAAGACTTTGTCCTTTCTGTAAAAATGATATAGAAGACGAATTCCACTTCATTCTAAAATGCTCTTCCTTCAGCGAACTAAGAAGTAAATATATTAAATTATATAATCTTGTTAATCCCTCTGTCTATAAATTAATCAAATTATCATCAACTGGTAATATCAAAGAATGAACTAACCTGGGTAAGTTCATATATCATGCATGTTTACTACATTCTACTCTGTTGGCTTCTAACTAGTTCGATTTTCAAGCTCTTAGTTCATAAATTCCATGTGTTGATTGTATCTTACAGCCTGTGCTGATTTTGAATGTACATTATGATTTTTTTCCTTTGAATCAATGAGATGTATATGCCCAAGATGAAATAAAGAATTTGAATTTGAATGTAATACAATGTATAGACTCAAAGTATTACAAAGTATCTAATTGTTACATCGTCTTGTACTTTCTAGCATGGGTTATAAACAATTAATGTATTGCTCATAATACTCGAAACATATCTGTTACTACATGTATACCTTGTATTCCTGGGAATTGTAAACAATGTACATATGTAGCTACAGTATTTGTTACTTTGTTTGTACATGTACTGCCTGGCAAGGATATAAACAATGTATTACAGTGTAGCTATCATGTGTGCTACAGTGTATGTACATGTACTCCATGGCAAGGATATAAACAATGTATTACAGTGTATCTATCATGTGTGCTACTGTGTATGTACATGTACTCCATGGTAAGGACATAAACAATATATTACAGTGTATATATCATGTGTGCTACAGTGTATGTACATGTACTCCATGGTAAGGATATAAACAATGTATTACAGTGTAGCTATCATGTGTGCTACAGTGTATGTACATGTACTCCATGGTAAGGATATAAACAATGTATTACAGTGTATCTATCAAGTGTGCTATAGTGTATGTACATGTACCCCATGGTAAGGATATAAACAATGTATTACAGTGTATCTAGCAAGTGTGCTATAGTGTATGTACATGTACTCCCTGGCCAGGATATAAACAATGTACATTGTATTACAGTGTGTCTATCATGTGTGGTACAGTGTATGTACATGTACTCCATGGTAAGGATATAAACAATGTATTACAGTGTATCTATCAAGTGTGCTATAGTGTATGTACATGTACTCCCTGGCCAGGATATAAACAATGTACATTGTATTACAGTGTGTCTATCATGTGTGGTACAGTGTATGTACCTGTACTCCATGGTAAGGATATAAACAATGTATTACAGTGTATCTATCAAGTGTGCTATAGTGTATGGACATGTACCCCATGGTAAGGATATAAACAATGTATTACAGTGTATCTATCAAGTGTGCTATAGTGTATGGACATGTACCCCATGGTAAGGATATAAACAATGTATTACAGTGTATCTATCAAGTGTGCTATAGTGTATGTACATGTACTCCCTGGCAAGGATATAAACAATGTACATTGTATTACAGTGTGTCTATCATGTGTGGTACAGTGTATGTACATGTACTCCATGGTAAGGATATAAACAATGTATTACAGTGTATCTATCATGTGTGCTACTGTGTATGTACATGTACTCCATGGTAAGGACATAAACAATATATTACAGTGTATATATCATGTGTGCTACAGTGTATGTACATGTACCCCATGGTAAGGATATAAACAATGTATTACAGTGTAGCTATCGTGTGTGCTACAGTGCATGTACATGTACTCCATGGCAAGGATATAAACAATGTATTACAGTGTATCTATCATGTGTGGTACAGTGTATGTACATGTACTCCATGGCAAGGATATAAACAAGGTATTACAGTGTATCTATCAAGTGTGCTA